ACGAACACCTTCACGAATAATTCTGTGGTTGACGATCTCCCACAGGTTCTCGATAGGGCTGAGATCCGGATAATGAGGCGGCCAATCCATCACCGATAGGTGGTTGTCTTGAAACCACTGCTTAATTACTTTTGTAGTGTGTTTCGATTCGTTGTCTTGCTGAAAAACACATTTTATTGGCATATTCCATTCAGCATGAGGTAACATAACAACATTCAGGATATTTTTATACATGAAACTGTCCATTTTTCCATCGATTCAATGTATTGGATCTAGACCGTTAGCAGAAAAACACCCCCAGACCATTACATCGCCTCCACCATGCTTCTCGCCTCTATTTACGTTACATGCTTATGGCAGTAACGTAAATAGAGGCGTTTTCCGGCCGGTGGACGTACACGGCAAATGCCATCGCTCCCAATGATGTTGAACTTCGATTCATCACTGAACAGGACAGTTCGCCATTTCTTCACATTCTAGTCAATATAAGATGTTGCAAGCAGGAGTCTTTTCTTTTGGTTCTTTAGTGAAATCAGCGGTTTCTTTGCAGGGCGTCGAGAAAACAATCCGGTTTCAACAGCACGTCGTCTGATTGTTCGGTCCGATACAGGCAGCTCTAATTGCTTTTGTATCTCGACTGATGATATCCAGGGATCCTTCTTGACGGATCTGACTATCATAGAATCACCTCTAGAAGTGGTGGAACGCGGTCTTCTACCTTTGTTATCTGCTGCCAACTTTTCTTGTAATAAATTTATAAAAATAGTAAGAAAATTTTAAAGTATTAATCTTTTTAATTACGTTATAGTAAATGAAACTTTTACAGATGATTGACCAATGTTCCAAATAAAATTGTTTTAAAAAAATCTGAAATATTGTTAAATCAAATCAGGGGTTGATTGAAAAACTAACGGCTGAAAATATAGCGCAGAATAGCTGTTTTATTAATTGTGTGAAATAAGTATATTACGGAATCAATAAACTCTTTAATCTGTTTTTAATAGAGTGTGTTATCAATCTCTGTATGGCATCAAAAAGAATTTCAACTATAATGTTTGCTGAAGATAGCAAACATTATAGTTTTATCATGAAGATTTATCTCTGGAAAAGTTGAAGGAGAGAAAACATTTCAGAATGGTTTGGGGCAAACAAACTCTCTATTAACTTAAGTAAAAAGAAGTTTTAATTTATACATCTTTCTTTTAAAAAGAAATGCTCAATCTTTTTTTTTTGTTGTTGAAAATAGGAAAATAGACCTAGTGTTACAAAATTTTTGGGCGTTTTCATTGATGAAAATCTAAATTTTAAAAAAAAAATTGCCTTTTTAAGTCCTAAAATATCCAAAAGCATCGGAATATTATACCATTCACGTTACTTATTAAAAAGCCCCTACTGAAGCAAATCTACAATAGTTTTGTCCAAAGTTACCTAAACTACGGTAATATAGCATGGGGTAATATACATATAAAACTAAACTAGAACCGCTTTATCGTAAACAAAAGCTATAAGTGTGATTAATTTTAAAAATTAAAAAAAATTAATTAAAACATCTTTTTGAACAAATGCTTTTATTAACATTTTTAAATGTAATGTTTAATCTTATGTATAATTGTAAAATGCAAAAAAGTTTTTCAATTTTCTTTAGTCTTTGTAAACAAACACCACATTTAAATATTTATTGCGCACAAATCCTGTTAGAGGCTTCATGCAAAAACAAGCTTGAGCAACTTAAAATTATCGTTCACCTCATCATTTTTGAATGTTTGAATATCTGAAATAGTTTTTTACTACTTAATTTAAATGATATTCATTTAAAAAATCTATTTAAAAAGAGGATTTTAAAATATAAAAATTTAGTTACTGATTTTTTGTAAATCTATTCTCTGAAAGCTTTATTTTTAAAATATATTTTGACTTCAATTATTTATAATATACATTCTTCAGATATTAGGCTTTTTATATAAAGTTAAGATCTTTAAGGCATACCCCTGGTGTTGCTGAAAAAAAACTGATACAAATATAGGTTAGTATTTCGATGAGGCGGGTATTTTAACAAGTCGGTTGTTTTGATGAGTTAAATCTAACTTTTTTTTTTTGTTCTTTTTTTTTTTTTTTCAGTTTACAATGTTAGTTGTGATTACGGTTTTCAATTATCCGATAGTAATGACTATCCGGATATCGAATACTCAAAATTCAAATTATTCGAATATATCCGGATATAAACTTAATACTCATCGTGTTTTTAACACAATAATTAAATTTAACTAACGTATTTTAGTTATATACATTAAGAATCCAAATCAAAAAAATTGTAAAGCAATTCTACTATTTAAATTTATTTTTAAAAATATTTATTTTTTATTAGTAAAAAATGTATATTTTTTATTAGTTTGTCCTTTATTATTAGTAGTCCTTTATGTCTATAGCAAGTAAATCACTTTTTCACTTTCGAGCATCTGTAAGCTCAGTTTCTTTTCGAGTAGCCATTTTAATCTTTTGTTGACTTCGTGATTTTTTGACAGATTCTTTCAGTTTCTTGGATATAACTATATATATATATATATATATATATATATATATATATATATGACTATATATATATATATATATATATATATATATATATATATATATATATATATATATATATATATATATATATATATATATATATATATATATATATATATATATATATATATATATATATATATATATATATATATATATATATATATATATATATATATATATATATATATATATATATATATATATATATATATATATATATATATATATATATATATATATATATATATATATATATATATATATTCCGACATAGATATAGATTCCGGGTTTAAATCAAGAGCTTTCATATGGTCATTTTCCATTTTTTCATTGCATATTATTTCTGGGTCAAAACATTTTACATTTCGCACAATGGCATATTTTAAAGGCGATTTTTCCACAAACTTACATGTCAACGACTGTAGAAAACATATGCAACTGTAGGTGAAAGCATAAATATCTTTTGAAGTGATTTTATCATTTGTTTTTTTATTCTTAATAACAGTACTAGCCCCACATCCAATATTTGTTTTTTTAAATAGTTTTTTTCTTGAGTAAAATCCAATTTGCAGAGGCTATTTGCTGTTTTACATTGACCTAAAATATCAGCTATAATGAAGATTCACATTATGTCTTTTAATAGTCGATAAGGATTGTCATATAAAAAGGGCATCATAGGTTTAGCATATTGATATAGCATATTGATAAAAGGATTGCATAATATGAGCAAAGAAATAAAATTCTGCGAAAATTAGAGGATCCTTAGTAGCAGATAAAACAATTTGGTAGCTTGTGCATGAAGGCTGCTTACTCTTAGGTAGAGATTCCAAAAACCTACATATTTTACAAATGATAATGAATGAAGACCACAAGATCTAGTCGGAATCAGTTTGTTAATGTCATTTTTGGCACGATAGTTTTGTTACTCAGAGTAGAAGGCCCAATTTGCATTAGCGCTATCTATAGATACTTGAATAAGTTTGGTTTTATTTAAAGATTTGAAACCCAACAAATAATTATGTAGAAGATCTCTACTTCGACTATGTCCAATAAAGGTTGAATCTACGTAACGAGTACAAACACGGTTTAAAACACTTTCCCAATAATTAACAACAAGATCCATTTGCCCCATTTGCACAACTAAGTTTAGATATTCATCGAAAGAAACAGCATAAAAGTCTGACTTATCTCTAATAAGAACTGATTGAAAATGAAGAGCTATTCCAAAATTTATATAATATGAGCACTTGTCATTTTGAAGAGAGAACTTTTCAGCTATAGCACTGTCAGGAAACATTCACAATTAAACTGTCAGGAAACATCAATCAAAATTATTAAAACAAAATCGAAAGTCCATCACTGGATCAAAAAGAAAATGATGACAAAATTTTATTAAGTGCCCATCTGATCTCCGCATCAATAACCAAATCTGACACAACATGCGACTGAAGAGTGGAAAATTGAACTGTGTTTTCTGACAAAGTTGTTGTTACAACATGTATATTTTTTGACACATTGGTAAATGGTATACGTGTCATTTTTAAGTGCAGAGACAAACGTTCACAATGCTTCTTTCCTGTTGAATGACTTTTTAACGCTCTCAGGCCCATACTAGACAGTTCATTTTTATTTGTTGGATGAGGAGAAACTCTACATTTTGCTGAGGTAGTTGTATCCCCGCAAAAAAGCCTCATAATTAAAGAGCTTCTAAAATAAGATAAATAATAAAAACCCTGATTTTTCTAAAATTTGACGTAATTTCCCTAATTTTTTTGAAGACATCTAAATTCCCTGACTTTTCCCTGATTTGGCAGACACCCTGCTAAGCATTACCCAAAAGCCTAAAGAAAACTCTATAGTTTGGCGAGGAATAGAATCAAAAAGGTTGTGATGAATATGTGAAATGTGCATATTGAGAAGTCTATGCTGAGGTAAAAAGTTGCAATCCAACTCGTGGGTTTGTGATTTACAATGAGTGAAAAGTGTGCGTTGATGCGAGTTCTTTGCGATAGGCGATTTTATTCAAATTTGCGAAGCAGCTAAAAAGATTTAAGGCCGTTCTAATATTTTATGATATAAATAAGAATTATATATATATCTTAAAATAATTCCGTCATTTTGCTTTGATTTCCATACGCCAATTTTATTTTGCTTTGATTTCCATACGCCATCTCTTTAATTCTGCCATCTTTTTTCAATACATAAACGAAAACAGAGAAAAGGAAATAAACTACAATGTATGAAAAATACAGGACGCAGAACTTAAAACAAAGAATAAACAAAAAATACTTCAAAAGTTTATTGCTTTTTAAAATTAGAAACCGACGTTTTATATAAAAATATATTTTATATAAAAATATATTTTATAAATATACTCTTAAAATTACAATGATTTGAGAAAACATAAAAAATTATTTTACAAATTAAAGTTTTATAAAAATGATTTTTAAAAATGCTTTACAAAACCTTTCAGCCCTACCGCAATATTTAAATACAAAAATTTCACTCATATCAAACATTTAAATACAAAATGTTTAGACAAATCACAACACCTGATATTTGTAAAATCACAAACCGAAAAAAAAAAAACACCAAAAAAAAAAACTGGGTGTTATTTTATTTTGAGTTTGCATATCTCTTAGTCCAAATGAACATTTTCTTTCAAAACATATCGTAATTTCACCATTAGGTATTGTTTATCTTGACCAACCTAAAATAAACATACTATTGAATGAGGATAAAAAATTAAACAGATACAAGTGGATATATATATATATATATATATATATATATATATATATATATATATATATATATATATATATATATATATATATATATATATATATATACATATATATACATATATATACATATATATATATATATATATATATATATATATATATATATATATATATATATATATATATATATATATATATATATATATATATATATATATATATATATATATATATATATATATATATATATATATATACATATATATACAATGAAAAAAATTTTTGCTAAGTGATTTTCTACTACTTTATAATTGCTCTGTTCTTTTAAGAACATTGAGCATTCTATTTTGTAGAATACATTTTAAAATTGTTTAAATTATGACGGTTTGAATTACATGGTGTCGAGCGTCATCATGGAGAAATTTGAAATTGTGGGTGCCTGTTTTACGTCTTTGCTTATTCATTACGCATATAAGAGGTTTCAAACAATTTTTTATATAATATTTGCTAGTAATGGTGTCTCCCTTTTCAACATAACCCAAATGAACAACACATGTTGTTTTAAAGAAGATGTAGAACATGCTTTTCGGCTGAAACCTATCGCATCTTACTATAGTTCTTGGACTTTCACCTTCACCGACTTAACTAGGTTAGCTGACTTGAGTTTAACTTGTCTCAAATAAAACCACGATTTTCCTGACATGCCTCAACTCTATTCTTTCGATTTTGATCGGTTAACTCGTGGGGTATCCAACGTGATATTAGTTTTGTTTTTTTAAGTACGTTGTGAATGATTTCGTTGATTGTAAAACGATTAACCGATGTCAGGGCTTCAGTTATATAATGTGTTGCATGCGGATTTTCTTTAATAATGACTCACACATGTTTAATATTCTTAGCTGTATACGTGGTTTGAGGGTGCCCTGAGCGAGAATCATAATCAAGACTCTCTCTACCATCTTTAAATAAAGTAGCCTACTTGGCAATAGACTTGTACTATATTTTGAAGCTTTGTCACCATAAAACCAATTCATAGATTATGGCTTGAGCTGAAACTCGGTTAACTTTGTAAAAAATAGTTTACAAATAATTATAATAGTAAAATTTAAAATTTAAACTACTTTTTTCATGTGCATTTTTACTCCAAATACTAAATTTTTAATCTCAAATACAAAAACTGAACAAGTTTCGCATAGTCAATTATAACGGGTTTTAATATAAGCTCGATAATCAAATATCTAATTAATATAAATATCTAATTATTTCCTGTTTTATTTTAACTTTATAGATGAAGTTCTACTAACGTTTCTAACGACCTAAGTATATATAAATACAGGGCCTTTGAGAGCGCCCGGGTCAAAAATGGATAACGGCGCTCTAATTTCAAAACAAGAAATTAAAAAAAATTCAAAGTTTTGCAAATGCAGCAATTATTTATTTCTGATACAGTACATTGAATTCTGCTTTACTATTAATTCTCTGGATTGAGAAACGGCTCGTTAATCAATACTGACATATGAATCAAAGCATTTGTTTTACAACTAATAAACAAAAAATCAATCAACAAAATCTTCAAGAAAGGTTAATAAAATGTTTTAAAGGAATTTTTTGAGCTTTTCTTGGCAGCCCAAATATCGATGAAATTGTTCTAGCTCACCTTTTTAACTGAATCTTCCTCAAGCAAAATAATCAAGTATCAGTAACGCGATTTTGAACCACGATCGAACAGAGAGAATTTTTTACATTTTTTAGTTTAATAAATGATCTTTTACCCTGAGCAACTGACTCAGGATGTTGAAAGTTCGATGTATGATGCAAATGTATAGAAAAAGGCGTTCAAGCTTCTTCTCAAAGATTTGATTGATTAACTGCATTTGATTTCCTTTGCTGGAAAATTGTTTTGCGGCCATTTTTAAAACAACGAACTTCTTCAATGAGATACACTTTGCTCACATCTCTCAGATAAGACCGCGCAAGTTCTAAAGCTTTATTTTAAACGGATCATCATTATTCAACCAGATGAATGAAAATATATTGATAACCATCCTGCTTGCCTCAAATCTTGAATTAATCTGTTGGACCAGACCATCTAAACTAAAATTAAAAACGTTCACTTTGAATTCTTTTGTTTTGCTGTCGTTGAAATGGGATGTGCTTGATGTTTTATCATGAAAGTGCTATAGTTTAAGCTTTCTTTTAGTAGCAAATTCAGTTTCGAATCCTAGCGGTTCAGCTACAGCCTTTTAGAAAGTTTGCAACCAAGAGCCCCTAATCTTCCAACAACTGTCTAATCAAACATAGCTCATCATCAATGGTAATGGCTTCAGATTGTAGAAGACGACTAATGTCGTTAACAACAGTAATGGTTTTGTCCCAAAACTAGCAATACAAATTCAAAAGATGATAATCATTTTTTTAAGTTTCTTGCTTGGCTGAGCTTTTTTTTTCCAAAGTATGTTTAACAGCTGCCAATAATATTCTCGGTCTTTAAACAAGTGGCTTGATCAAGTCGGTAAGAGAGCCCTATCTTGTCATAAAAAGTTTATGCAGTGAAATTCTTGTTGCTAAAATGAGGATCTTCCATCGGACAAGACTTATATAAAAAAAGTACGTACCAAGATTTAACATTCTCAAAAAATACATTGATCTCAATGATTCAACTGCATGCATACCAGCCCAATTCAGACAGTGAGCCCTACAGAAAACGTACAGAGCTTCAGAATAATTTTGACATATTAAGGCTTGTGCTCCTTGTAAGCACCTCACATAATAAATCCATTATCGTGTCCCTGACCAAAACAGTTTCAAATATCCTAGCCTTAAAATCACATCAGAGATAAGCTATATCAACTCCTTTCTTCTTAAAAGCTTCAACACACAAAAATTGTTCTTTGATTTGGCAGTGATTGGTTTCTTTTTCATGGAGGAAAAAACGAATAACAAAAGTTATCTGCTTAGTATGAGATATATTGTGGTACCATTGACTATGATTGTGTTTGACTATGAAGTAGTTATCATCCTGGATTTCTTCAACAGCTGCATTTTGGGAGACAACACCATATTCTCCATTGAACTCATTTTGAAACAATGGAGAGAAGTAAGGACACTCATTCTGGTGCCCTCTTGTTAAAGGCATCTTACATTTTCCAAGCGAGATGCAATGACGGGGTTGTGACAACCAATTAACTTCATACCAGCCAGAAAATTTCCATTTTCTTTACCACTCACATGTGTTATCTTATTTGCAAACATAGTTGTATATAGTAGTTATAATTAAATTATACAATAACTATATAAGTAATTAAAATTGATGTTGAGAGAACTTTATAATGAGTTACCTAGAAAAGCTAAATTCCTAGAAGCCAAGAAACGAGTCACATCCGAAATTCCGCAAAGAAATATGCTCCATTTAGCTGCCTCAGAATTTATTAACTTTTAGAGTTCTAAATATATACCAGTGGAGCTGGTAAGACGAATGTCTGCCTTATTCTAACATGTAGAACTTTTGGTGCAATGGGATATGTTAATGCTACTTCACACGATCTATGAGTATCCTCCATTGTTTCCTAGCTACTCCGTTCCAACAAAGAATGGATAACTACCCGCTTTTGAATACTGATTTTGTGCTGAGGGCCCCTTTAAAAAAATCACATCTTAATTTTTTTAACTCAGACCTCAAAGAGGTGTTAACATTGATAACTACCAAATCAGATTGAACATCACATTATCCACGAATAATAACAATCAGTCGACACTGATAGGACTAAGAACTTTACTAAAGTTTTGTCGACTGATCAACTACCATTATAATTACCTAGTGCAATTGATCATCATCTTCAGTGCAATTGAGCACAAGCTAACATACCTAACTGTTCATGGGCTTACAGAACACGCTTGGTACCATCTTTCAACAACAACTAAATCATATTTTTTTGTAAAAAATAGTTTACAATTAATTATAATAATAGAACTTAAAATTTAAACTACTTTTTTCATGTGCATTTTTACTCAAAAATACTAAATTTTTAATCTCAAATACAAAAACTGAACAGGTTTCACATTGTCAATTATTAAAATGTTTTCTATTTATTGTAAAAAAAAACAAAAAACTAACGGATCGTCTGACACCCCTTCAAGCTTGGTGCCCAGGTCAACTTGCCCCCTATGCCTCTCCTTCTTGAGGGTCCTGCATATATATATATACATATATATATATATATATATATATATATATATATATATATATATATATATATATATATATATATATATATATATATATATATATATATATATATATATATATATATATATATATATATATATATATATATATATATATATATATATATATATATACACCTTGTACAGAAAGTTTAAATGCACTTGTTTTTTTTAAAGTTTAGGTATGTTTAAAGTGATACAAAGAGAAAACATGAGGCAGGGTCCAGGTTTTTTTTTTTAATATACTTATTAATTAAGAAAAAAACACAACTTTGAATAAGAAAAACACAAAATCTTTTCTGAAATTAAACAACAAATTCAAGTAATCAAAAGATTACTTAGAAGAAAGTGCAATAAAGTTTAAACGCACATACAACTTCTTTTAATCGAAATATATTAATACGGAATATGACCCCCGTTGTTTTTAATACATGCTTGTATTCGCCTAGGCATTGATTCGATTAAGTTTTCAATCATCTTGATTGGTATTTCAAGCCACAGTTTGGTCAGTTCTTGTTTGAGCATTTCGTGACTAGTTATTTGCTTTTTTGTTAGTTGATAATCCATCCAGCTCCATAAATTTTCAATTGGGTTTAAGTCTGGTGATCGTGCTGGCCAAGGCATAAGTTGAATATTACTTTTAAGGAAATAATCAGTTATTGAATGCGCTGTATGGCATGGAGCATTGTCTTGTTGAAGTAACCAGTTTTGATCAGCCTGGAACAAATCACGACTATGG